AAAAAACAGTTGTGAAAATCATAAAATGAAGGCATTAACTGCTAGACTGACACTTCAATACAAAGCTGTGCGTGAATTAGATGCTTTCAGATTTCTACATCCAAGAGCTGCCTTTCACCACTGTCCAAGGCCATCTAATATTGGCTCAAAGTGATTAAAAATTCACTTCTCAAAACTCCAAGTCTAAAGCAACCATTGACATTGATCATTGGCATTGGTTTTGGATAGACTGAAATTTCACTTTTTTTATAATCATAATATGCAAAATATACATTTAGAAAGGGGCACCCAGTGTTTTATCCTCATGTCAGGTAATGAAGCATTTAAAACAGAACAAATGAACTCCATCAAGTAACCTATTTCCCGCTCAAGAGTCATGCTGCAAGTAGAGACTCAGAAATGCAAAGTTCATTAGCTGACAACAGATCTGCCCTGTGTCCATTGATCCTCAGCTCTAGCAAGTCCGAGAAGAAGCCGTCCTCTTTTAGTGGAAGATTAAGATCACTCCGTCTTTGACAAGATAAATGAGATTATGGAGCTACATAAAAGAACATACCTTTCTTTCCAAAGAAAATTCCTTTCAACAGTGACTGAAGCAGAATTCATAACAGTTTTTAAAAGGGAATTGGGTAAATATTTGAAAAAACAAAATACAAAAGAAATTTGGAACAGGCAAAGGAGTGGAAGAGATAGCTTACATATTGGACTGAATGCCTTCCCTTCTGTTCTGTAAAATTCTATGCTGCACTTTCAAGAGAGCAAGATGCAAGGGGGCTATAAGCCATGCAAACAATTTTTTCAGCCTCTTCTGAAAAAACTTCTGAATAATGTGAATGCTGTAAAGGTGGAAGGCCAACTTGTTTTGATTATATAAGAACTACTTTTTTCCAGATCTCTAGATGCTGCACAAAAACGTAATGAAGCTTTGGGAACATGAGGTTTAGATGCACCATCAGATGGTTTATCTGTTCCTGAAAGAAGGGAATGCGAATGCTGGCATTCAAAACTTCAGTGCAATAGATATACAAAGCAACTTAATACAAGCATCTCAACTCAAGATGCTTGGAGAAGGCATCTCAAACCTCAAAGAAAAAATAACCATGAAAGATAACAGAGACAGAATCCATAAACTAAGCCTAAGAATTATTCATCTCTCAGGACGATTAAGTTAAAGACTTAATAATATTCATGATTCAAGAAAATAAACTGGAGATTGTTGAGCTAAAAGGTGCAATTGTTAGTTTCACAAAAAGTTCAGTAAAAACTAGAATTCACAAAAACTCGAGCTATTAAGCTAGAGAATTCAACCTGAACACTTTGGTTTGAAATCGGTTAACTGTGAAGCAAAGGTTATAAGAGGACTGTTCTTAACAGCAATCCAAGACGTTATACTTCATGAAGGGTGGAATATAAATGCAAGTTACTGTTCTTCTTCAACAACAAGAAATCCATTTCCCCAAGAAATAAATTTCTGGAGCACAATTTCCGGCAACAACTGAATGCTTGAATGAATCTAAAGAATACTCATGCTGGTGCAGCAGTTGGAGAAAGCTGTCATTGCTTTATGAAACCTCTTGGTTTGGATCATGTTGATATTGGCAACTGATTCCCCAATACTGAAATGAAAGCAATTTTGGAGAAAAGAATCTCATGCAAAGTAAATATTATCTAGATCCAGAATTATCAGTCTCCCTGCAGACTACTGGCACAACTTACATGATCATTTCAAACTTACTTTGGATAAATCTGTACAAAGGCTTGACATCCAGACTGAGTTGATATTCCAAAAAGAACAGTGGAAGTAAAATCTTCTTTTTCAGGCTTGAAAAAACTTGAAAATGTGCACTGAAATAGCTACCTCGAAATCTGAGATTGTTAAGCGCAATGATCCAAGAAAATCTCTTCAAGAGAGTAAAACTTCTAGAGGAGAGCTCCCCATTCTTCATCTGTCCATAAAAAGTCAGACCAAACTAACAGAAGAACCAATAAATCTCTTACGTGTACATAGTTTTATATGAATTTGACAAGGGGAAAACAATCTCAGACATGTCCAAACAAAGTTTTTAAGAGAACTCAAAGGAATATGGAATCCCAGAAACTCAGTGTTCTTGTCCCAATTTTAAAAACCCACTGAGCAATCAAACAATATATTTCCAGGCTTCTCTTTCCAAAGGAAGCCTTTTCATCTTGTATTCTTTATTTCTCTTATATTTATTTTTCTCTCCTGACATGTCTCTGACCAAACACCAAGCCCCCAATCTGAGTGATATTCAGATTATCTAAAGTGTCTCAAAGTATTCACTATTTAATTTTGGAAATAAGTTGCAACCAAGAATCATCATGTCCTCATCTGGTTATTTGAACCAGCAGGTATAGCTGGAGAGGAGTGCAAACTCCGAATGATTTTTCTTTTATCCAGCCAAAGCAATACAGACAATCATAGTAACTTGGCCAAGATGAGCTCACACAGTGCAGAGCAAGAAATAATTTTAATTCTTACCACTGACGTGGAAATGGCTGGATTCTTACATTCCTTTGGCTTTGACTGCACATGTGAATGGATAAACACAAAGTTTGCCCTGAAGTGAGCAAATCAATCCTGGTGGTCTAAGCAGAAATGCCACTATGTTCATTTAAAGAAATTCACCACTGTCTTCTCCTTGGGCTCCTTGTGAAGCGTTTATTCCAGTAAGAGCTATACTCCAAGCAAAATCCAGGAAAGCGAGTGGGTGGGTGTGAGAATCACCATTTCACTCATCTTCGATCAGGCTGTCAGTTAAAACAATATTTAACAAAACGCTGACCATGCAACGGGACACACACAGCTCTTAAATATTAATTGGAAAAATACTACAGAATATAATGCCTCTCACCACACTTACATCTACTGCAGAGCCTAATTGTAAAAGTACTAACAGAATGCAAATTCAGAAGTCACCACTGGCAAGGTGTCAATTCCTGTAGCTTCAGTAGATATAATTATTACCCAATATTAACAGCACAGAGCTCAAAGCAGTTTAAATTCATTGACACAAAGCATAGATCACAATTTTTCTCTTTGATTTACAGTAAGCATTCACATTTTCTTAAAACAAGATTACAGTCGTATAGTCCCTTTCACGTCGGGAGGACGTCCCAAGGCACTGATTTTTAGAAACCAAGAATGTGGACAGAAGTCAGAAATAACTAAGGGAAGGGCACCGAGAGTAGGTAGAAATGCACTTTATACCTAAAATGCATTTTAAAATCCTCAATTCTGTGACTTTTTTTTAAAAATCCAGGCTAGCCAAGGTGCAATTATATAATTTCACTCCAAATGATCACAGGACAAGTCATTCCTACAAGATTAGAATATTCAATATTGGTTGCTTTTTTTCCCCAAAAAAATCTAACAGTTCAACATCTGCAGTGCACATTTTATCCAACTCTGTATTTGTTTCTGCTGCAATGTACTTAACATGTCAGAAGGAAGATTACCAATTAATTCATCTTGAAATGTCAAATTCCAGCTACATGTACGGTTCTTTAGTTGTTTTATTGTTGTTTCAAGCAGAAATGTTTAATTCAAATGTAGTTAGTCCAATATTCAATAATGCTTCAATGATATTCCAGAATAAAGGATCCTCTTACTTGTAAGTTTTAAATAATTTATTTGCATATAAGCATGCAAGCGTTCACTCTTACCAACTACAAACAAATGTGAAATGACATACGTGACTTCGATGTATCAAAAAAAATCAACATTTTGTCAATTTCTGAGATTCTTCCCACACAAGAATTCAACACATTTGATTATTTATTACCTTAAAACACACCAACAGTGGCCTGGCTTTCATCCTCAATGGGTGTGCCACCCACATAACACAAAAGTTCAACCAAAGCAAATACACATTTCTATAAACCCTTAACAAATATGCTGCAGCATCTTTATGAGCAACAATCCGTGGTAGAAAAGTGAATACCTTATATTCTCAGCTTGCAGCAATAAACTGCATTTTCTACTACAGCTACCCTTGTCCCAACAGTATATTAATGACTTAAGAAAATACTGAACTGCAATTATTACACAATCAATGCTTTAACAGTGACCATTAAGAAATCCCTTGATCATCCTGACCCGCACCTCAAATGACAGCAATGGATTTTTTTTAAAAAGTTACCAGACCACCATATTTGTGATTGATTATTGCAATTCATGGACATTCCTCATTTCAAATAGCTCCGTTCTCTTCCAAGAGCCGGATTTCGAACTATACAATAGGACATGTTCAGGGTTACATTCAGTCGTGTGTCGCCTCCAAGAAATGATTATTAATACCCATTCACTGTGAACTCAATTAAGGCCGGAAGGATCAATGGATGTTTCTCGATGGAGGTCACCCTATACCCCTCCAAAACCTAGATCTAGGAGCCATGAGTCATTCGAGCACAGATTTATTCTCACGTCTGCTCCCTATTGATGCCAACTGCAGAATGCACAACACCTGTGGTGATAATAAGGCAGGGAACTCGGCTCCCATTTTTGATGGGAGCTGAAAACCAACGTTACAAACTGCCCCAATTTGCCGATCTGTTGCAGCGGGGGGGGGGTGAAAAAGAAGAGGAATTCATCACTCATCTCGCAATATCATCACACGCTTGTCCCAACTGCAGGACGTGAATGCCTAATATTCCTCTCTTTAAACCAATCTGCATTACCCCAATCCTCGTTTCTCGGGGTGGAGATGGAGATGAATCCTCTGCATAATCTCCAGACGTGAGGAGGAGGAGGAGGAGAGGAGGAGGGAGTGGGGGGGGGGATATTCTTGATGCATTTTTTTTCCTCAATTCGAAAAAAAAACTTTATTTCTCTCCCTCACCCCCGCCCCCCCCCCCCCCAAAAAAAAGGGGGATACGTTTGCTGAACATTTTCTCCCAGATAATTGCTGCAATCCTCTACCCCCCCCCACCCCCCCACCCCCTCTCTCTCCCTCTCCCTCCCACACACACACACACAATACCTCCACACTTGTCCCAGCTGCAGGATGTGAATGACCGCCTGCCAGATCCACACGGAGGTCGTGCAGCAGCGGTTGTAACCGGCCGCGCCGGGCCTCCTGCTGCTGCTGCTCAGCCCCTCCACGCCCCCGAGGCCGCCGTTGCTGTAGTCCTGCATGAACCACCTGAAGCTCAGAATCTGCACCAGGACGGAGGGCACGAGCACGAAGAAGAGCGTCAGCGCGAACCACCAGTAGTCCTGCTTCAGGTAGTAGTCGGCCGCCAGCCACAGGTCGGTGCCCACGTCGGAGAAGAAGACGAGCAGCGCCACGACGATCCACAGGCAGTCCAGCACCGGGTGCTCCCTCCCGCGGAGCCGGCACAGCGCGCTCCTCAGGCAGGCGCTCCGGCAGCCCCAGTAACACGAGGACGTGTTGCAGCAGTGACAGATGTGGAAGGAGGTGCTCTCCTCCGGCCGCCCGCTCGGCTGCTCGTCACCTCCCTCGGTCGCCGTCTCGTCCAGGTTGTGCAGTTGGGCGAAACCGGTAACCCCCACACCGTCGGATTTCGCGGCCATCTTGGTCGGTGCCTGGCGCCTCTCAGCTTCCGGGGTCAGGGGGGCCGCGGGGGGGGGCGGGGGGGAGCCGCTCACCTCACTTCCTGGATACCGTGGGGGGAGGGAGGGAGGGAGTGGAGGGAGGGAGGGAGGGAGGGGAAAGCCTGCCCTCCAGTGACTGACTGCACCGTGTGCTCACCACCTCCCCCAACACCACCCCCCCCCCATCCCATCCCACAGCGACTGACACTCAACACCTCTGGTCTCCAATTGGCTTGTTTTTTTTTTGGGGGGTGTGGAAGAGGATGGAAGGATTGGGAAACCTGCCCCTCCATCCCCACCCCCTCCATCCCCACCCCCACCAGTCAGAAAAGGGTTGGTTTGTGAGATGATGTGGTTGCTTGTGGGGGTGGGTGGGGGGGAGGAAGAAGAAGATGGAAAAATTGGAAAACTTGCCCCGCGGTGGCAATATTTGCTTTCCCATCCCCGCTCCTCAGAAAGGGTCAAGACATTGGCCTCCAAGAGACCAGAAATTACATTCATTTATGGGAGGGGTAGAGAGAGGACCGATCAAATGCAGGGATAAGAAGTAGGGGTAAGAACTGGAAGATGTGCCTCACGGTTTTTGGTAAGCTTCCCGCTGCTTGACCATCGTGGATCACTCCCACCTTCTAGGGCTTTGGATTGCAGGGCTAACGAGGAGCCAAGTGGAAAGAATCCCTGCCCCCAGTGACTGGTCTGTCCTTCCAAATCCTGCTGGTGAGGCAGGCTGGCTAGTCTGTCATCAGCAGTGCCTCCAAATACTCTGGACCCACCTGATTCAGGACTGGACCACCAACATAGGATCAGTTATCTTGGTCTGATCCAGAGGATCAACAGAAGATCAGTTCTAGTCCATTGCCAAGCATGTCACCTTGGAGCCAGCTCAGCCTCAAGGAAACCGTGCTTACCTCTCCCCCTTGGATAACTGACAGTATTATGTGAATCCTGCACTGGTTGCTTTCACATTTTCCCATTGCATTATGTAAGATTCAGTTGTCTGCAGCAAACAAAAAAAGTATTCAGTGTGTGTGGGGAGGGGAGATAATAAAAGGAGGGAGGAATTGGAAAGCCTGCTTTCCAGTGACAGTAACACACCCATCTCACCCAGGTGCAACAAGTTAAAGACTCAAGAAATTGGTCTCCAGGAAACAGAAAAATCATTGAATGGGGAAAAGAGTAGGTATTTTTGTGTTTGTTGACCTTTCCCTCTCCAAGCTCATATCGAGTTTGAGAAAATGTTGGGTGTGTTTTCTAAGATGCTTTCAGATTTTGCCCTATAAATGCAAATTGTTATCATTTTTTATTTTGTAAATGGTGGTAGTAGTGGCTTCAAAATAGGATAGATTGCAAACCTATTTGAACACCTGGGAATTTGATGACCCCTCTGAACTCACAATTCATGTAAACATTGGAGCAATGTTGGATTTGAGTTTTTTGTTATAATTGGTGCGTATTCCAAAATTAGATGGATTGCAAACATGTTTGAACATATTTGAGATAACTTGACTTTTTCAGAGTGAGGTGCATGTATGTTTCACCTTTCCAAGTAAAATGCATCTGGTTTATTTAAAGAATCATAGAAATTACATCATAAAAGGAGCTGGTTCTAGCTCCTCCACGGAGCTATCTCACTTCATCCCAAACTGCAGGTTTTTCACTCTATCTTATATTTTTAGTCTTTAAATCTCTATCCAAATTCCTTTTAAGTGTTGTCATGGGTTTAGCCTCAATGCTAAAACATTCTAAAACTGCAAAAAGAGGAGGGTGGGAAAAGATTGAGGTGAAGGACCTGAGAATCTGTAATATAAAACAGTGATAAATTATTTAAGGATCTTCACCCACCTTGTTTCCTGTTCTTGGCTATACTCATCAAAAATGGGCATAAAGTGAGATGCTTAAAGCAGAATCAAAGAGATACAATGGAAATGTATGGGTGCGTGAGAGAATATCAGGATAATATCAACAACATAATATTTAGAATATTTCTGAAAAATAAAAACTGGAGTCAGGGAAGGGATTAAATCAAGGACCTTTATTAATTTCAAGAGCTAAGACCCAGTAGCACACAGCTTGCATTGCCCTGAAGAACATACAAATATATTAGTGGCATAAAAAGCATATGCAAAATTATCTTAATGTAGAAAGAAGGAGGTGTGGAGATTGAAGGTCAAAGCAATTGGGGAAAATAGATGCACGATCATTGTAAAGATAGAAAAACAGACAGCCAAGCAGACAAAAGAACCAAGAGCTGAGAAAACAGCAACAGGTGAACTGTTGAACAAGTGAGAAATAAATTAAAAACATTGACTCAGATCCTTCCACGAAAAAGACAGCATTGCAAAATAATTGCAGGTGGAACACCATGGGAGCATGTTGTCTGAAGGTTAGTTCATAAAATAATTTTGCAGTTTACATTTATTATGGAATCTCTCATAAGGTGAAATGATGCATAAATTAACACTCATTTTAAGACATTTGGCAATCCTAGTGCTATTCTGAATTAATGGATCTGTCTCCAGTTTCAGAACTGAAGAGACATCCACTGCTGAAAAGAACCCCAAGAATTTTTGTAGTGCTCTAGAATCGGGAGGAATTACAACAACTTGCATTTATATAGCACCCTTAACAAAGGATAATGTCGCAGAGCGCTTCACAAAGACGGGGCGGATGCCAAGCAAGGGAGAAGGCGGAAGTGACGATAAGTTATTCATCATAGAATCGAGACAAAGCGTGTTCTTTCAAATAGAATAAAACTCACATCAGTCGTATCAATCAGGACCATAACATATAATATGAGTTGCGTGAACTATGAGTTTTAGTCAAATTTGGGTAAATCATATAAAATCTGATTTAATCCATAATCTACATTGCATATCCATAATTCAATGCAGCATGTATGCACATGTCATCGGGTGAGAACTTCATTTCCTGTGATTCAGTGCAGCTGGTAAGTGTGGTAGCGGTATTACGAGTTAGGAGATGATTTGCTTCATAAAATACGACTAGTGCAAAGAAAACTTAATTTTTTTCGGTAGGAAACTGAATGGGATTTGGATGCATGTACGTCTTGGGCAATTATATGATTTATAAAGATAAGACTTAATGTGAGGTTTACTGTATAATAAACCTTTCACTCAATTTAAATTAGTAAGTGATTTTAATTTCAAATGCCCCTGCTGGATTTGTAAACCCTGAAAACAAATACACTTGCTGCAAATAGGAAAGGTAAATGCAACAAAAGATCCGCTTTGAAGCATCAACCCTTTGCTGCATGGAATTTTCATGGACTGATGAACTGTATAAAAATTTTGAGTCAACACTCAGCAGAGTTGCAATAAATCAGCAAGCTTAACATTCTTGACTTTCTAAGCAAGATCAAAAATCTCTTGTTCAAATTTTTGGTTCAAAATGTCAATTCCCCTTCTCCAGGAATTACTGTGAGCCAAATGCCTACTTAAAACTGTTGCTCATTAACAGCACAGCACATCAAACACTTCCGGTGCCAGCAGCGTTTCCAATCAACCAGTGAGTTTAATATCATTTGCCATTGTTAAAAATATTTCTTACTTGCTGACTAGAAATTTCTTTATTGACCTTTGAAATATTATGTCCATCTTTTCAAGTAGGGAGGAAGGTATAAGCTTTTGTGTCACAAGTAATCCATCTAACAAGTGAATCATGCGACAATGTAATGCTGAAAATGGAACATTCAAAGCCTGTGCCATGACTTGTGAAGTGGGTGGATAGTACTATATGCCACTGGGAAATTTGGATGATCATTTACATCGCCTACTATGTGACTCAGCTGCTAATGATTTAGCTGCTCATGTTTAGTCTTTACAGACTGACAAAATACCTGAGGTGAATTTTTATTGAATCAGGAGAAATGGAACTTGCAATAGCTGTTGAATTAGATTAGATGAGCAAACTTTTCTCTGTAATACTGGCATTGTATGATATTCTTTTCCCAGCAGAGCAGGCACCATTGCAAACAACTGTGATTTCAAATTCCATAGTACTTGCTTGTTGTCTTCAAATAGCATCACCTACACACAACTCCTTGACAACCTGACAAGAGACAGAATATACAATGCAAAATTACATTTGTATAGAGCCTTTCATGTTGGGAGGATGTCCCAAGACGCTGGACAGTCAGGGATTTGGACCCGAGCTGGGGGTCAGGATTGGGGAGGGTGGTCGAAGGCTCAGTCAAAGATGAGGGTTTTGAGACGCGCCTTGAAGGAGGCAAGGGAGGGAGCGAGGCAAAGGAATGTGGGATGGAGTTCTACAGGGTGGGGGCAGAAAGGCTGAAGACCCGACCGCCAATAGTATGGTGGGCCAGGTGGGGGACATGGAGCAAGCCACAGCCTGTTGTGCGGAGGAAGCGGACAGGTTGATATGGGGTCAGCAGGTCACAGAGATAGGGAGGGGCTAGGCCGTGGAGGGCCTTGAAGGTGAGGACGAGGATTTTGAACTCTATCCTTTGGGGGATGGGGAGCCAGTTGAGCTGGGTGGGGGTGCTGGGATCGTGGAGCCTGGTGCAAAAGAGGACACGAGCTGCAGAGTTCTAGATGATCTGCAGCTTGTGGGGGGAAGAGTTGGGAAGCCAACAACCAGGGAGCTGGCATAGTCGAACCTAGATGTGATGAATGCATGGATGAAGGTTTCAGCAGCCTGCGGGGTGAAACAGTGGTGGAGCCGAGCGATGTTGTGGAGGTGGGGCTAGGCAGAGCGGGGTAGGAAGGACAGTTGAGAGTCAAATAAGATGCCAAGGTTCTGGACTGGCTTAGTAAGGTGAAGTGTGCAAACATGGATGGTGATGCTGTCAGTGCCTGAAGTGAGGAGACGCTGACGGGAGCCAATCGATCTTGTTGACGTTCAACTGTAGAATGTTAGCTCTCATCCAGGACTTGATGTCTGACAGACATTTTGTTAGGACAGCAGTGGTTCTGGAGTCTAGAGTGGAGGTAGAGGGATAT